TGAGACCCTATAATCAATAAAATTAAAAATAAACCCAAGCATACCACTGCAAGACTTCAAGACATTATCAGTTCATTTTGCATAGATCGGACCATAAACAATAATTAAAAAAGCTGAAGGGTTTAACAATGACATCGGGACGTCAGTCACCTCAGTCCCCCGTGACCACGGGTGCTGGAAAACACTCGAAACGTCTGGATTTAAAAATAAAAATAATTAACAGTATAATTAAAAGCGATAAAATCCGTAAAAGTAGTTTCAATCAATGTGTAGTGTTCGCGTAAATATAAGAAATCATTACGTTAGGTAAATGATTTTTTTACAAACTATTCTAAAAAAATTATCTGCTACCATTTAATAGCATATCTTCTCTAATCTATGGATGGGTAGGATAGTTTGTAAAAGACAAAAATATAATTCAAAACTTTCTCGGTGGTATATATGGTCCTCGTTACATATACGATAAATAAGTTTATCCCAACATATGAATATATAATCTTAAAAAAAAGGAAGTAATGTAATGGATTTTGGGCGTAAACTACACAGATAGAGACTCCCTGATAACTCCCATTATTTAAAATATTACACATACAAACGCACAGATACACGCCATCACGCAAGCACGCACGTACGCTATCACGTACGTACTCACACTCGCACGCACATTACGCGCGTTATTGCAACTTCAATTACAAAAAACAGCAATTATAAATCATGTTGTCGCATGAAGTGTTCTAAATTTAAAGATATATTTTTAAATGTTGCGTTAATGGACGAGTAAGGTGATTAGACACACAGATCTCTCCTAGTACACCAGGGTCTCAGAAACAAAAATTGTTATACTTCCAATAGTATTTATTATATATAAGATAATGAAAACTCGTGGGAGGAAATAAAGTACATTATTATTATTATTATTAATAAAAATGTAAAAAAAATGCACGATAAACAACATCTGCATTTCTTTAAGAATAAAGGTGACAGTTCATTTCGTAAGTGGTTAATGTGAACTATAGACACATCTATCCTCGATTAAGAATTAAAAATATAGGTTTCAACGGTAGAGTTACGCTGTAGCTACTCGTATAATATGGTTGTAGCACAAATCCGTCATCTCGATCGTAGTAAGATCACGCTCTAACAGAATACCGGTGTAAAATATCAGCTTGACGCTGCTGTGTTTTGTGCGGTGAGTTTAGAGAACCGGAGACCCATTTTACTCGATACGAGGCATTAGCTCTTAGTCCTCAGGGGTGACAACGCAGCTGCTTTTTAATTAATAATCTAGGATAAATATTGATGTCTATGGGTCACAGCATCCACTTACCACCGGGTGGTACTCGTTTGTTTAGTTCAATGCAATTTAAATAATCACACATTATACTTATTTACAACAACCCGTACAATATTTTTCCCAGTAATATTTTCGGCGCGCATATTCCATTCTTCCTTAATAAAAATCTTGCGATGCAAATTTCAGAACACGTCATCTATCAGACGTAAATATCAGCAAATACTACAGTATTTTGGGAAAGGATCCCTGAGAAATGCGGAATATGAGACGGGAACATCCTCAGGTTTTCAGTAATATAATTTAGAAATCAATAAACTACAGAAAATATACATTGTCAACTCGACTTGTTTATCTTGATATAACAATTACACCTACCTACAGTTTTGAAGGAATGGTTTATTTATTAACGTAATTATTATTGCCTTTCGCAAGCCCACTTAAGTGTTATTTTATATTATATTTATAAAAGTTTTGATTGTAAATGTTATATAGTTTGTTTTACTAGTGTTAAAGTTAAGAATATTGCTATGTAACCATTTGATTACAGTATTTAGGCCCTTGGATGCTGACTCATGGAGTTAACACCAGTTATTACCATGAAAAAGAAGCGCTATGTCATCAGCGTAAGAGAAGATTTTACTATTTGGTAATTTAAATTCAGTTATTGATCATTATAAGATCATTGATGTATATAAAGAACAGAGTAGGTCCAATAAAACTACCTTATGGAACGCCATATTATGTGCAGAACTAATTAGAACTATATTAGTTATCATCTACTTTGACTCGTTGGGTTCTCCTTAAAAGATAATCGGATATGTGGAGAAGAAATTGGCCATGAACACCAATTCTGTCAAGTTTCTTGATAATAAAAGGGATGGAGACGGTGTCAAACGCCTTTCTATGTCTAAAATATACAAAGATCCTTCTCATTTCTATCAAGAGTATCAACAATATTGTCAGTCAATATTAAAATAGCATCTTTTGTGCTCCATTTACCTCTAAAGCCAAATTCAGCGTCCGATAAAATGTTATATTTGTTTATAAAATTTAAATGCCGTTTATTAATAACTTTGTCGATAATTTTGGAAATCACTGTGAGAAAAGAAAGAGGTCTGTAGTTGTTAAGGTCGACTTTAGCCCCACTTTTATATATAGTATGAACTGGCTTCTGCCCGCAACTTCGTAAGCGGATCCTGTTGCTTATGCCAGCGACAACGGGGTCGTCAAAATTCTAAGAGCCCGGGGACGGGAAAACAACGTGATGCGCGAGACGATTCGAGACGTTCCAGATCTTTCATTTTTGTAAGTCAACAGGAAATGCCCATCAGACTAAACAACTTTTGCTAAGACGTCATTCCTATATACGTCATAATGTCGCTGGGCTTTGGAGTTCCACAACAGGTGTTACAGATCTTCAAATTTATTTTCACAGCAGAAAATACTCTTCACGTGGAATATTTTTGCTATGGTAGCATTTTTATATCTCTTATACTTTAGCTAGTCTGTTACGATTCTGCATCAGGTGTTCCATTTTCGTAAAGAAATTACAGCCTATATGTTGGCTAGACTTAATAACACCTACATATACAACAAAAAACTTTTCATGCCGTATATTTCACCTATCCGGTGTGGAATGCACCAAAATTCACGGATCTTCCATTTCCAATCCCGCTGCAACGTTATCAGGATCAAAATAAATGCGCTGGCCATTCTCTAAGTGGACATCTAAATGCATGACTGTTGGTTACCTGTCATGTATGGAGAAGGCCAGTATCCGCTAAATCGCCCTAGAAGTGCTGATGTAGTGACCAGACTGGTACTTTGTCACTTCATCCCTGTCAGTAATCTGTAAAGTGAACGTTGCCTAGTCACTACCTTTGTTGACGTATTTACAGATGTATTTAATCGACTGTACGCTAGTGCACGACTCCACGTTAATGTGGGTACTGAACGTCCTGGAAAGTACAGGTGAGTATGGAGCTATCCACCTGTTGTGGATCTCGACTGCCTGGCCACGCATAGTTAACTCGGTACGACTGCCACCCTCAGCAGGAAATCGACGCCGGTATGAAGGGTATCCATCCTCACTTGTAAGAGTTTCGCTGCTAAATTGCTTCGGAAACCTTTTTGAGCACCGTCCGTCCCTCATGCAGGAAGTATTGCGATTTAGGGCTCCGCAAAGATCATGCACCATGTGACCCTTTACAATTTGGTACAGAACGAGGTCAACGTCGGGATCTGGCAGCTCAGCACTTATGACATCATCGATCTTATTGGGCCTGATTTTATCCTTCAACCACAAAAGCAAATGCGCATAGGGCAAGCCGCGTTTTTATCACTCTACCGAATAGATGTGGCATCTGGTGGCACCAAATAGTTTTTCTTTTGTGAGAACATCCATCAGGCACTTTAATTTTTAATGAAACACCCGAGAAATCAAGTCGTGCCTGTCATGTGGCACCTGTCCTGCTAAGAGCTCGCGGGTTATTTCGGGCCACTTAGGGTTGGTAGTGATGGTGATGAAAAGGTCCGGTCGACCGTAATTGCGCACGTAATAGAATGCGTCTTGTGTCCACTCGTGCGTGTACCGCGGATCTCCCGTAAAGGTGGAAGGGAGTATCACCATCCATCTAACATTTTTCGCGTTAGAGTCCTCTCGCATGGCGTCCCTTAGGTGCACGTAGTTTTCCGCCCTCAGTTTCCGTTGATTCGTTCTAATGAACACCAACATCTACCAGAAATTGACTAAAGAGTGCACGGCAATAATGGAGATGGGAGTTGTCGTTGGAACGGAGCTTAATCATGTAACTGTAAAACTGGAGAGCGGAAGTCTTTTTGTTATAATTTGGTGCAGCTGTCTGCGGGTCTGCACTGTATACGTCAAAGGGGTAGCCATCCTCTCCGCGACAAAACATTAGGGGATATTGTAGGGTATCATAAGCGCGATGTGTCTCGCTGATACGCTGTAGGCGATCATCACGTGTGCGTAAAACAATGTCTCTTTTGTCGCATTCCTGGTCAACCAAGAGGACGGTTACCTCGTTTGACGTTGGTGGGTTATATCGTCCTGGATGGGCTGCGGTCGGTCTTTTGTCTGCGCTAATAATGAATTTAAAATTATTGCGCTTGTGTTTAGGCACCGATTCCAGAGCGAATTTGAAATCGGTAACGTATGGACTGACACTGTGCAGAGTGTTTTGTAATCCCCTTATAAGTCTCAATTCTAAATTAGGAATATGTCGGCATCGGACATTAGCCTGTTCAGCAAAATCTGCAATGAAATATATTTGCAAAAATTTCGGCATTTCGGTGGGAAGCAGGGAACCTATTCGATGGTAGACTTGCCCCTGAATTTTAAAAGTCGGCATGAATCCAAATTCAGTGACTTGATGAGCTCCAAATGAAGTCACCTGGAAAGCACTGTTGTAGGCTCGAATATTGCTTAAGAAATGGCTGGACTTGGGATTCTCGCTATTCAAAGAACTCGTAAGATCTTCGGTAGCTCTTGCATAGAGTTTAGTCTACCTTTCCAGATGCACAACATATTCCCTTGGTCTCTCCCTTCCACTTACGCGCGTGACAGTGTGCACACACCACAGACATGGTGGTTGGTGGTGGTGGTTATAGGAAAACACGCTCCTTTCTTTATTGAACCACGGTTGCTCTACAGGATCATAAACCATAGACTCAGTATCAGATGAGGATGAATTGCGAAGATTGCGACGTATACGGTTTATATCAATTTGGGCCACACGCTGTTCGACTGACTGACTTGCCCGAATTTCCTGAAGCCGCTCACGTTCTTGCATGGAATGAACAGACACCTCAACACGCATGTCGTGATATCTTTGCCGAGAAAGTGCGTTGCGTTGCTCGCGCTGCTCGTCTGTCCCCAAAGACCGAGCTAGAGCATGCTGTAAGCGGTCTGCACTAAGGCGCGTTTCATGTTCTTCAGGATTCTCATGCGATCGAGATGTGGCAAAGCGAATACGTTGGGAGCTTAAACGCGAGTCTCTCTGCGTGTGAGTCTCCAAAGCGCGAGATACTGCGTGGCGTTCGCGATCGCTTGCTTGGCATGTATCGCGCTCCTGAGTATTCAAGAGCGACCGAGCAGTCTCAGTGCGGAAAAGCATAAGACGCGCGAGATAAAGAATGACGCTCTCGGTCACGCGCAAGTCGTATCTCAGGCTTCTGACTGCTCTCAAGTGATCGAGCAGTCCCAGAGCGTATATTCTGAAGACTCAACCTCTGATCCCTCTGTGTAACCATTTTGGATGCGCGAGACCTAGAATGACGACCCCGGTCGATAGCTAAACGCATTTCTTGTTGTTCCACACTTTCCTGAGATCGAGAAGCAGTAGTGCGGACTCGTTTAAATTCTAGTCGTAATTGGTGCTGCGTGCTAGTTTCTGCGGACATACATAGTGCATTACGCTTACTGTTAGCACCTAGCCGTTGTTCACGCTCTGCATCGGTTTCGAGAGATCAAACTAACCTGCGCATCTTAGAAACCCTTGAGTTTTGAGACAAATTTGATATTTTTCTAAAAGGCATAGCTAAAATTCCTTCTTAATCCGATACTAACGATATTCAAAACAATGAAAAGTAAGCGAATAAGTACGTAATATTTGCTAGTAATTAAAAAAATTAATTATTATTCGCAGAAAAATTGAACACATCAACCAACACAGACAATAAAGGTAACCCCCGTTTCTATAGGATGAGAGCGGCCCATCGGCACCTATAACATCACTTTTTGGGAACGGAACCATAGCGCGATCTAACTCGACGCCAACGCCATCTAGTTAGAAAACGGAAACTACATATTATTTACCTAAATTAATTTATTAAGTTATGAATTAAAACTAAATTGTCGTTAATTTAACAGACATGTACATTATTTTTTCATTAAAAAAATATGGTAACATCAGCAAGGAACAAAACTAAGAATTACATACTTAAATCAATTCTCGGATACTGCACGGCTCCTTTATAAAAATGGCGTGATTATTATGTTCCGAGAGTTAAATTCTTATTTTGATTTTAACTAATAACATGTCATTTTGTGCATTCAATTATTTTATGGGTTTAATTATAATTAAATATTGTTTACCTCCTATAACATACGGCGTGATAATATGTAGCCTAAAGCCTTCCTTGGTTTACAAAGAACATTTTTGCCGAATTTCAATTCAATCTACCCAGTAGTTTTGGCATGAAGCCGTACCATACACACATACAAACAGACAAACAGACGAACAGACAAAAATTCTAAAAAGTCACTTTTTGTCATCAGTTACGTTTTTCTAACAAAAGCCACTTATTTTTTCTCGAAAATTCTCAATGAAAAGTTTTCCTTTCGTTACTGTTTTCTTATATGTATAGATAATTGTCCTTTTTAATGACTGAAGAAACATGCCTTTTTTAAAACAAAGCACGCAGAGATACAGAGTACAAAAGGTTTTGGACGATTAACTCACCCATTATCAACCCTTAATCTTGAACTTTCTGGTTAACTAAACAGCTGTTCATAAATAGGTTGAACAGCCATGGGGAAGCTACACATACCTGTCGTACACTTTTATGGATGCCAAACCAGTCCGAATAGGCACCTTTAATCCTGGCAAAAGTACTAGAGTCTCTATAAAAAGACTTTAATACCTGTACCAACCCAGCGCTTTACTGAAATGAGTTTAGTGTCTACCATAACACATCTCTGTCCACTATGTCATAAGCCATTTCCAAGTCCATGAATGTTCTTTTTGAGGTTTTTAGTTTTTGACAAAAAAAATAAAAATATAAATCTATTATTTTCATAACTAAAATTAAACTTGATATTTAAATTAAACGGTTTGCATTTCAGCGATACAGATTAGATTTAACCCGATATTTCACTTACTTACCTTTAGGATTAAAATGTTGGTATTTCTCTTTTAGAGTTCATCAACAATTGTAGGAAAGCTGATTGCTCGAGATCAGTTATCAATAAGTTATACTTAATATCGCTAGATTATTACTTTCTCCCTAAATTAATAAGGTAAGGTTAAATATTAAAACGTTTCATAGCAATTTATATAGAGCTAATCTTATTATTTCGTAATTTTTCTAAAACAATATAAGAATTTCTTCTGTACAATGAAAGCGTATTACATGCACCAAGCCCAGATTTGGATCACTTATTTGTAGGTAATACAAATCATTGTTATAGATGCTAAGTTACCACACCTATATCATCATCATCATGACAGCCCGCAGCTGACCATATCATCATCATCATTACAGCCCTTCACAAGTCCAATGCTGAACATAGGTCTCCCCCAAGTAATTCCACAAAGCACGGTCCTGAGCCACCTGCATCCATCGACTTCCTACATATCTTACCAGGTCGTCACTCTATCTAGTGGGGGTCGCCCTACACTACGCCTACCGGTACGAGGCTGCCACTCGAGAACCTTTCCTCCCCATCGGTTATCGGTTCTTCGAGCTATATGGCCGGCCCATTGCCACTTCAGCTTAATAATCCGTTGGTCTATGTCGGTCACTCTGTTTTTACTGCGGATATCCTCATTTCTGAGTCTATCACGCAAAGAAACTCCGTGCATAGCCCTCTCCATAGCTCGCTGAGCGACCTTGAGCGTCCTCATACGGCCAGCAGTGAAGGACCACGTCTCAGATCCGTAAGTCATCACTGGCAACACGCACTGGTTGTACAATCTAGTTTTTAGAGATTGAGGTATACCTGACGAGAAACTATGTCGTAATTTCCCGAACGCTGCCCAGCCGAGTTGAATCCGTCGATTGACCTCTCGTTCGAAGTTAGACTTACCTAATCGGACTATTTGTCGCAGGTAAACGTACTCATCAATAACTTCGAGCATAGTGCTCCCAACAACTACCGGCATAGGTGTGACATGGACATTAAACATAATCTTTGTTTTGTCCATGTTCATCTTAAGACCTATCCGCTGGGAGGCACTATTGAGGTCATTGAACATGGTGCTTAAGTCCTCCAGCAATTCTGACATAAGGACTATATCGTCGACAAATCGAAGGTGAGTGATGTACTCGCCATTGATGTTAATACCGTATCCTTTCCAGTCCAGTAGCTTGAAAACGTCTTACAATGCAGCGGTAAAGAGTTTCGGGGATATAACATCACCCTGTCTTACACCTCTCTGCAGTTGGATAGGTTTCGAGCTCTGATTCTGTACTCGGATAGCCATCGTAGCCCTACTGTACAAACACTTTAGCACTTCGATATACCGACAGTCAACTTGGCACCGCTGAAGGGACTGTAGCACCGCCCAAATTTCGACGGAATCAAAGGCTTTCTCATAGTCCACATACGCCAGGCAAAGTGGCAGATTGTACTCTTCAGTCTTCTGTACAATCTGCCGCAAGGTATGTATGTTGACCATAGGCTGACAGCTGACCATATGCCTCCCCAAAATAATGTCATAAAACACGGTCCTAAATCACTGGCATCCATACTTACCAGGTTTACACATACAAATATAGAAAACCATTTATAAAAAGCACTAGTCGTACAAATTTTAAGAGACATATAGAGACGCCAGTGTAATTACCCTCCAGAGCGCATTTCGGTCATGGCGACCAGTCGGAGACCAGCCATCTGCGCGCGACAGGATTATGGTGACCAAGTGTATGCTCAAGTACAAGTGTACTCTCTATTCCTTACTCCCATTGTTTGATGGGACGGTTATCCGAAACGACTGAAGAGATATTACGCGCAGAAACAACGGCTTTACGTGCCTTCGGATGCAAGAGGATGCAACACGAACCGACAACTTCTTGACTCCGCGCAAATACTGATAATTTTTTGTCAGATAAACTCAATAACTGATTTTCGCCCAATCCTGAATTCGAACTAGACCAACGACGTACTCAACGAGCAACGAGGTGAAGCATAATGTGTCTATACCTCCCGCCATTGGAACATCACACAAACAATGTACATAAAAATGCACATTCTACCAAACACTATCGTAAGTGACGAAACATCTTATTAATTCATTATTATGAAACTTACAATGTACCTACATATATTCGTATCTTGTTTGTTTAATATAAATAATATTACCAATTGTCACAATTCACAAACATTCATTGTAACAATAGTAAACTACAGAACACCTATCTCTTTTAATATATTTTTTAAAGAATAGTACAAGTCAATAGTACAATAATACAAAGATTAATCCAAAAAATTTTATAACTTGTATCATAAAATGTTTCAAGTGATTGCAGCAATTTTTTTTTAAGTAGACAGATACCGCATTACTATCGAGAAAGATTTAAATGCATTGACTAAAACGCAAGGATGGCTACCATATTATTAGATACGTATTTAAAACAAAATACGACATGCGGTATACTAGATTAATAAATAATCACTGGTTTGAGTGAGTAAGTGGATCGTAAATGTTCATAATCATGAAAACTGAGTAACAATGAAGTTACAAAAAAATATATGAAAAAGAATGAATAAAACACATGAATTTGAAAATGTAAAGTTGCCAAAAAAGGAGTAATATTATTAACAATATATTTATATGATTAAAACTACTTTTACGGATTTTAACGCGTTTATTTTTTAATTTTATTAACTTTTATTTTTAATTCCCGACGTTTCGGGCTTTCAGCACCACGGGGGTGCTGGAAAGCGCCCGAAACGTCGGTAAAAATAAACATAACAAGTAAAAATAAACGCGATAAAATCCGTAAAAGTATTTTTAATCATGTATAGTGTTCGCGTAAATATAAGAAATAATAATATATTTATATTTGGAATATACTCAAATATTCTATAAAATATTAAATTGTTTTTATACCAAAATAGCATAAGAAATATAGTTGCCACAAAACACAGTAAGTTCATTCTGCGTAGATCGGACCAAAGGCAATAATTAACAA